GGAATTACAGAGAATGGTTAAAAAAACAGAAAATGTCCAGTCTTTGGAGAAAAATCCCCTGTTGATATCAGATCATAGGAGAATGGCCAAACTGGTTGTAATCAAAGTGTGCAGAAGAGCATCTTTGATCGTGTAAAACTTTGAACCAGAAGCAGAAGACCGCACAAAGTGCAATTCCTGTCAGCCGAGAGCAAAAAACTGAAGGTAACTCAGTACTAGCAAGATGTATCTAATAGGGTGGTTGCTAAGTGTATGCTTTCACTAAAGGACTACAGCTGTTAGGGTTTGTGTGCTGGAACCTAACCCCTTACATATCGTGGATACAATTAAAAACTTGAGCTACACACAAATAAGTGCATCATCATCCCCTCATAAAAGCTTAACAATTATTCCCCAGCTGAAAATAGTCCCAGATAAATGCAGTGTTACTTTTTTCCTAATAGTGAATGTGGCATCTTTCAACAAATGAAATTATATATTCATGTTTGTTTGTTTTTCTAGATCCATATTTTCAGCAGTAGCAGCTGGTTTGGGACTTAGCCGCTGAAAGGCTAGGGTAGTCAGAAAGGCCTGAGAGCTGGACTATTACACTGCAGGAAGATCTTTTCATGGCATTTGCTGAAAATGGAGACAATGTCGAGTAATACAAGCCTCATGCATTAAAATATGAATACTGGTTCTCCTTCAACTGTTAGCTCTTACTGTTATTAGAGCATTAATCATACAGATGTAAAAGTTGGAGACATTATAAGCCCTCAAAGGCTTTTTGTTGGAATTTCACCTGCTCTAACCCTACACCTACACCGCACTCATGTCCTGTTTCATGCGTGTTCACACTTTCAATACTTTATCTTTAGAAGGCATTAACATCTGTCCTCTCTGCAGGTCTTTCCAAACAAGCTACTGTTGTAACCCGTGGTTGGTTGTTGGATACAGTTGCGACCTACACCCTTCAAAATTACAGCAGCTACAGAACATAACCCAAGGAACCCAGAGATCTTCCCACGGCTTCACTATGACCTCTTATGGGGAATTTAACTGTTCCATTTTTTGTTTTTCCAAAATATCCACCTGTTATACATATTTCTGTGTCTCGCATTGTATGATGTATATAAAGTACTCGACTAAAGAGGCCTGAATTGAGTTTTTCTTCCGGTTTTAAAGCACAAATGTCAGTGCTGTCTATGAGGACTATACAATGCCTGTTCAGTTTCCTGAACATGGTTTGCAAACTGCAACATGTTCTGCATTATTGAACAGCTGCTGTGTGGGAATAAAATGGCACAAAAGATTTACTGTGCTGGATCAGATAAGGGCAGGAAATATTTTGTTTCATTTTCCTTTTCAAATCTTATCAACAGTCTAAAATATTTAGTTTGCTGCTCCAAAATGGTACTAACATAAAAAAGACTAAAGTGCTAATATTTGCCACGATACAGTAATCTGACAAAGCATTTAAAGGAAATAGATGCCGGCTTTGCGCTTCACGCCTGTGGTGTCAGCGTTTTGTGAAGGAATATAGATGCACCAACTTGACTTGTTAACTTTTAATTAAATTTTATTGCTTAGAAAAAAAAGTATAAACCAAACATTTCACAGATGACTTCATGAGCCTGCTTTCTTCTCCCATTTCTTACAAAACTTTGGTGTTTTTATACATGGTACCCTGTTTTTTAAGGATTTTTAATTGGACTGAAGAGCAGTTTATGACCTGGTGAGGCCTGCTCCCTTGTTAGTTCATGAAAAAATGAAGCATACAGAATACCTGAAGTTGTTGGACTTTGAACGATGTAGTTCTTAAAAACTTTTCACTGTAATTTTACACGGAAAGCCCAGAGAAATGCCACTACAAGTGATGGAGGGCATCACTGGGCTAAAAGAAACAAGACATAACTCCACCACAGAGAGGCAAAAACTTCAGGAGTGCCAAACCAATAATCTGGTACATTCTTAAAAGAATTAATACACTGACCAACTCAGCAACAACAAGAAGCCTGAAAAGCCACCGAAGACAACTCAAGTGCATTATTGTGGAGTTCTTTCTTTGGCAATTTCTAACCAAGTCAAGAACACTTTGAACATGTAGGCGTGTTGTTGTAAAAGTCTTCAATCAAGAG